CTCCCTCTAAAGAGTAAAAATTCTAGTCACTATATCTAGAACAAACAAAAATCTCTGATGTGGAGAGAACAAGGCAGACACACTAAGAACTTCAGAGACCTAGGGAACAGGAATGGTGACATCCCTGGGTTTCCATTTTTGACTCCTATATCCTGGGCCGGATGGTGGAGAAGCTGCAACCCAGAAGACCAATGGGTGCAGACAAAAAAATGAAAGGAAAAAAAAAAAGTCCTATATATGCCTGTTTTCTCTAAATAAAGACAAGGAAAAGGACAGCCAACCAAGACAGAAAACTCTTAGACAATGACAGGCAAATACTCCAGTCAAACACTAAAGAATAAAACTTCATCCTTGACCCCAACCCCACTAGCCAAGACCAGGTAGAGTCTACTCTTCAGACTCCATGGGGATATATGAGATACCCCTGCCCTACACCAAGATGGTGTGGGAGAAAGGGCTGAGACTTTCATCCCTGTCACACTGGAATGTATCCCCTGCCCTGGCAATGTCAGTAGAAACTGTGTGGAGACTGTGAACTTCCACCCCCATCAGATAATATTGAGATACTACTGTTCTCTTCAAGGTGGTGCCACAGGAGATCCAGTGGACAGTCAGGACTTTCACAACCACCAAATAGTAACAAAGCTACCCTGTGCAGTGTCATTGGAGGTGGAGTGTGAAGCCATAAGAGACGCTTCTAGCCTCTGTCTGATAGGTGCCAACAGAGGTCCCATGGGAAGACTGAACCCTCACACTGGCACAGCAGGAATAAGGCACATTTATGCCCCCTTTCACTTGGAGGCTAAGAGTACTCTATCTGATGAACCTCTTTCCTTGCAAGTACAGTATCACAGGATACTTGCTAAAATGAGATCCAGAATATTGTAGCATAGTATTCAAAATATCCACGTTTCATTAAAAAGTTATTTATCATACCAAAAACCAGGAAAATTTCAATTTGAACAAGGAAATAATCAACAGACACTAACATTCAGATGATACTGATTATAAAACTATCTGATCAGAATTTTAAATAAGCCATTATAAGTAAAAATGATTGGTGAGCAACTATGGCCATACATGAAACAAATTTAAAAGGTAGATTAAGTAGAAAGGTAGAAAAATAGAATAAGAATAAAACAAAGACTAAGAAGCATAAGGACGAACTAAATAGAAACTTGAGAATTGGAAAATTCAATAATCAAAAGAAAAAAAAATATGCCAAACATAACTCAATGAATGGACTTGATAGCAGAATGGAGAGGCCAGAGGGACAGATCAGTGCATTTGAAGATAAACAGTAGAAAATTCCCTAATCTCAACAATAGACAGGGAAAAGGAAAGAAATGACAAAAAAAAAAAAAAAAAAAAAAGGGAGAGAGAGAGAGAGAGAGAGCGCGCGCGCGCAGGCCTCAAGGACCTGTGGAACTTTTTTTTTTTTATTTTTTTTTTAAGATTTTATTTATTTATTTGACAGACAGAGATCACAGGTAGGCAGAGAGGCAGGCAGAGAGAAGGGAAGGGAAGGGAAGCAGGCTCCCTTCTGAGCAGAGAGTCCAATGTGGGGCTCAATCCCAGGACCCTGGGATCAGGATCTGAGCCAAAAGCAAAGGCTTTAACCCACTGAGCCATCCAGGCACCCTGGACCTGTGGAACTATTAAAAAAGATCTAACTTTTTTTCTTGTCATCCAAATCCCAGAGGGGAGGAGAAAAAGAATAGGGCTGAAAAATATTTAAAGTAAAAATGGTTGGATTTCCTAAACATGACAAAAAATATAAACCTACAGATTCAAGAAGCTGTGTGAATGACAAACAGGATAAATTCAAAGAAATCTGCATTAAACTTCTAAAGACCAAAGAAGAAAGTCTTTAAAGCAACAAGAGAGAAATAGCACCCATGTTAGCTTAGAAAAAAAGATTCCAAAATAAAATGATAGTAAATAAATGTGTACAACCACACAAAACACATGTGAGAAAAATAGAACAGTGGTCATGATATCAGTATCAAACAATGTTAAATTTTATGGCCACAAGGAACTATTGGGAAGGACACTTATAATAATAGAGAATAAAATTGACAGTGAAGATTGAAGTGTAATGAATATGTATAAAACCAGTAACAGTATTAAAATTCATAAAGCAAAAGCTGTAAGTGATAAAAAGAGAAATAGACAGCAAGAGCTTATCAATAGTAGACTAATTCATTAATGTTAACACATACACATAAAACTGCATACACATATGCAGGAAAAAATAAGTTTATAGAAGTTTGAACATAATTAGTAAGGTATGTCTAATTGTTGTAAACCAAACTCTGTTCCCTAAAAAAAAAAAATTATATCTTTTTCAAATATACATGAAACATTCACAAAAATTGAAAAAAAAGTCAATCTATTCCAAAAAGTATGATATATGGCATTCTATGATCACAAGTAGTAAAATAAGAACTAATAACAAAACTAACTTCCTATCAGGGGGAAAAAAAAAGCCACACTGTGCTACATCGGCATTTTGAAATCTCCCTTTTAAATAATCAGTGGCTCAAAAAGAGCAAACAAAACCAGTATCTCAGAAATTTAAAAGCAGTAGTAAGGACATTCACATCCCATGAGGTAGAGCCAATTCAGAAAACAGGAAAATTTATATTCCAAAATATTTGTGTTAGTAAATAAAAAGTGATGAAAATAAGTGAAAAAAAATAAAGTAAAAATGAGGAAGACTAAAGTAAAACAGAGGGAAAATATGAATTATTTAATAAGTTATGTTAAGTCAAATGACCAGCAACTAGACAAAAAGTCACTCTTGTAAAAGTAATTTGGTTCACCAAAATTACTTCCAAGTGTATAAAGTACTTAAAGATAATGACAAAAACTCTGAGAGTACTAGAACTACCATTAGGATTTTGAAGTTATTTTGGAAAGCCATATTATAAATCTTGACAAAAATTCAGAACCAATTCAGAACCCATAAAAGAGAAAAAAATAATCAATGGTGTTTTGACTTAAAAGAAACAACAAAAAAAATTCTTCAAGGCATAAAACACATAGAAAAAGTATAAAAATATTTTTTAAATGGAAGAAAAAAAGGCCAAATTTTTTAATAAGCTAGGAGTTATTACATATTAGTAAGAAAAGAATCTATGATACCCATAGATCTTGTGAAAAGATGATTAGCACCATGCATAACGTAAGAAATCCAAATTAAAGTTGCATGTATATAACATCTTTAGTTTTGTTTTTTTTTTTTAATTAACATATAATGCATTATTTGCTTCAGGGGTAGGTACAGGTCTGTGAATCCTCGGGCTTACATAATTAACTGCACTCTCCATAGCACTTATCCTTCCCAGTGTCCATAACCCAGTCACATTATCCTTACCACCACTCTCCCCAGCAACCCTCTTTAGATTTTTATAATATACTAGTTTGACAAAAGAAAATGGCACATTGGTAATCCTTCTTACTAAATTTGCAAATCTCTTTGTAAAGAAATTTGATACTCTCTGTGACAAATTAGAACCCATATTATTTTATTTAAAAAAATTTTTCTGGTTACTTACCCCACAGATACAATGGTATATATGGATAAAGACTTCCATAAGGATGGTCATTACAGTGTTGCTCATAGTAGCAAAATATTTTAAGCACTTACTTGCACATCTATAATGGTGCGGTAAAATAAATCTTATTAGATGCAATAAGTCCTATGCAGCTGATAATAAAACAATGATGCAGCTCTACTATATGTACTAATTTTAAAAATCTTGGGAAATTTTACTTATAGAAGAAGCAAATTTCACAGTATTATGTATCTATATTAACCTTTTGGGTAAAAAGGGGTTAAAGGGTAAGAGAGATAAACATTTATATGCTTTACTAGGTATGGACTATTTCTGGATATATTCAGTCATTTATCCACTCAACTCAAAAATACTTTTTTAATGCCAGTGCCTGTTTTAAACATATGGAACATATGGATAAAATACATAATATCCCAGTCGTGCTTTCTAGTGGAGAAGAGAGTGAACAATGAACGTAATTAATAAGTGAGTTATATGTATGTTAAAAGGGAATAAACCAATGTTAAGAGAAAAAAATAGAGCATGATGTGGGACTCCAGAGAGGTTTATGGGTTGAAATTGTATTTTATTATTTTATTTTATTTTGGTGGGTTGAAATTTTAAATCTGGTGGCGATTCCACCATTAACTGTACAGCTGTAATGGTCTTTTAAACAAACTGAATTTAAAACTTTCATTTGGTACTTACATTAAGTCAAATAAAGGCAGAAAAGAAAGTGTCATACAGATTGAATTCAAATATGAACTGTGTTATGTATTAAATGTCTTTGGGAAAATAAGAAAAAAAAATCTCTAATGTCTCTTCCTCTAGCTGGAATAGAAAGAAAGGTTGATGAGAAGTCAGAAGTTCTAGATTGGAATCTTGGTTTTTATCTTTCCTGGCTACTTAAGCCTGAGAAAGAATTAAATCTCTAAGCTTCAGCTTTCTCGAGGGTAAATAAGAATACTGTTACCCACATCAGAGGGATAGTTGTGAGCATTAAATGAGATAATTCATGTGGAAAACATCATTATGTAAAAATACTATAAGCTAAAAGTATAAATGACAGGCCTTTGGCCAAATCTAGCCACAAATGTGTTTGAATTGGCTGATACAGTTTTGGCTTCCACAGTGCTATAAAGCAATGTAATTAGTTGCCAACTTTCAAAGATTAAATGATTTCATATAAAGTAGATTTTGAATTTCCTGAAAAAAAAAATGATATTAGCTGACTCTATTAGGCCCATACTCCTCATGGAAAAACCAACTAAAGGTGAGTAGTGCTTATTCTCCTACTGGGGCACTTCCCATTGTTGTCATTTTCTCCTAACGATGAAGGCTCCCTCCTATGTCTAATTAGCTTTTCTCCCTTGCATCTTACCTCCTCTTCACAGTGGTTTTTCTGTGTCACCCACCAAGGTATGCTAAAGTGCTTTTCAGATTTCAGCACAAAGTCATCAAGGAGTAAGCTGCTTGTCTGTCTTCTTTATCAATTTTGAGATTAAATATATAAATATATATATGCCAATCTGGGATTGACCTGTGTTCGCTAGGCCATCTCCAGTTCCCAAAGTATACCAAGCACATAGTTATACGCACAATAAAAGTGCGTAGTGTGATTGAAAACAAACAAATGGTCGTCCTTGTTACCTTATGGTAACTTTTGAGTAATTGTTTTAATTTGAATATTTTCTTATGCTTTTGCTATTAGATATGATTACTCCACCTGAAACAGAGAAAAACTTTTGTTCAGGTGATATTTTTATTCAGTTTGGTATATATAAGTATACATACCAATATGTATACATATCTGTATACATACATATGTGTATATATATGTATATTTTATTTTTACTGTAGGGTGTCCCCAAACAATGTTTGGCCCAAACTGTGAGCTAAATGTACCTGAAAAATGGTGGCCTTTGCAGTCCTGTGGACAGAAGTTTTACCTGTGGTCTTGAATGTACAGGTAATTACTATGAAAAAGTTAAGTTGATTATCACATTCTTTTATTCAATAAAATTCTAGGACATACTGCCATTGTTTGATAAAATAGAGACCTGTGAAAAGGCTATTTTCCAATAAACTCATGAAAACTTTATAATTATTACTCCATTTCCAATACAAGTAATGTTATGTTAATATTGATTAATTTTTGTTACCTTATCAAAATAACACATGAAAATCCTTAAAACCCCACGTAATTGAAATAATATTAATTAATGTGAAAGAGCCTTTATGAGACATAAACCCCATTCCTCTCCAGCTCTGTTTAAGCCTGAAGTCTTTGTGGATGGCAGGTTTGCTGGACCTTGAATTTTTTGGCATAATACAGAAGACCCTCAACCACCACAGAGCCATTGAGGCTGGCAGGGTGGAAGGTGCAGAGCTCTGGCTAGAGCCAGTTCATGTTATGAGTGGGCCCAGCTAGAGGTGCCTGGGTGGCTCAGTTGGTTAAGCATCTACCCTTGGCTCCAGTCATAATACCAGCATCCTGGGATTGAGCCCCACCTCTGTCCTCCTGCTCAGCAGGGAGTTTGCCTCCCCCACTTCCTCTGTTGCTCTCCCTGCCTGTGGGCTCTTTCTTTCTCACTCAAATAAATAAAAAAATCTTTAAAAAAAAAAAATGAGTAGGCCCAGCTACAAGGAGCAAAGAGGAGGACTCTGGGAATAGAGGTCTCCCACCTTCACTTCATTAAGAAAAAATTATTCAGGGGCGCCTGGGTGGCTCAGTGACTTAAGCCTCTGCCTTTGGCTCAGGTCATAATCCCAGAGTCTTGGGATCGAGTCCCACATCCGGCTCTCTGCTCAGCGGGGAGCCTGCTTCCCCCACCCCCTGCCTGCCTCTCTGCCTACTTGTGATCTCTGTCAATAAATAAAATCTTTTAAAAAAAAAAAAAAGAAAAGAAAAAATTATTCATGTATCACCAATAATTTTTTTTATTTATAAGTGACATGCATGTGCTTTTCAACTAACATATTATGTGTATTATAAAACATATATAAAGGTTTAAATTGATAAAGAATGAATAAAGATAAATATTGGTGGTTATTCTCATTTCTTTCCGAACCACAATTGATTATTTTGTGCAACACTGGAGAGTATTCTACCTATTTAGAGCACGCTGTTGTAGGAGATGATGTTTTATTTTGACAGATTAGAGAGAAAGGGTTCTGATGATGAGGCAGAGGGTGGGTAGGATTGTTGTGTGGACACCTAACCTTGGAGTACCCTGAGTGGAAAAAAATCCACTCAGGATCAGCTTCTGGGCTGTTTAATGGGATTGATGTTAATGAAAGTTTTGTAAATATGTATATGGTAATCTAATATAAGTACAACTTTACTTTCTAATGGCAAGGATTATGTGTTTCTATGGAGTTTCATTTATTCTGGATATACAGTTCACTTTCTGTTTAGAAGGCCTGCCAAAAATGCTTAGATTCTGGTAATACCTTTCTTTTTTTCTTGACCTGGAATTTTCTCTCTCTTCTTTTCCTACATGATAAATGTTCTAAATACAAGCATGTGTGAGTGCGTTTACGTGTGAGTGAGTGTACGTTGAGTATGTGCGTGAAATTCTAATGTGAAAGGCACTAGCTATGATAGTTTCATGCTATCTTTACTATTATATGCATCTTGGTGTAATCTATTTGCATTTTTGTCAGAAAGTATACCCTTCTGTGGTTTATTATTTTATGTTCTGGTGCTTTTTATCTCAGATATAAATCATGAACACTAATAATGGTCATAGACATATAAATCTTAGTAAAAAGTGGTCAAAACTTTGAAACCCAGTATCAAAAACACATCTTATTAAAATAAAGTAAAATCTTTTATTGCTAAAATAAATTAACATTACCTTTGGGCATTTTTTTGGCATGGAATAGCCTATGTAAAATTTATTTAATTTGTTAATTAAAGTTTTTGTCTTGCTCTAAAAAAAACAACAACAAAACTTTCACCTAAATGGTTCCACCTATGGGGGTTATTACTCTTTAGATCTGTGGTTCTAACATACCATCACAATGGGTGTGATTACCCACCATCCTTTACCATGAATTTGACTGTCATCAGAGGGTACCTTGCCCTGAGAGTGGTTAGATCCCTGTGCTAACTCCTGCACTGCTGATAACAATGTTCTATGCCTTGGGAATATCAGTCTTCCCATGATACGGTTTTCCCATCTGGAAGTGAGGGTAAAGACACTTTGAAATGAGAAACCTTCTAAATATAATACCGGAGATTGTTTTTCAGGGATTATTTTTTGTTTTGTTTTGTTTTTGTTTTTACTTTTTAAATTTTTTTTTAATTTTATTTTTTATAAACATATATTTTTATCCCCAGGGGTATAGGTCTGTGAATCGTCAGGTTTACACACTTCACAGCACTCACCATAGCACATACCCTCCCCAGTGTCCATAACCCCACCCCACCCCCCTTTCCAAACCCCCTCCCCCAGCAACCCTCAGTTTGTTTTGTGAGACTACAAGTCACTTATGGTTTGTCAACCTCCCAATACCATCTTGTTCCATTTACTCTTCTCCTACCCCCTTAACCCCCCATGTTGCATCTCCTCTCCCTCATATCAGGGAGATCATATGATAGTTGTCTTTCTCCGATTGACTTATTTCGCTAAGCATGATACCCTCTAGTTCCATCCACGTCGTCGCAAATGGCAAGATATCATTTCTTTTGATGGCTGCATAGTATTCCATTGTGTATATATACCACTCTTCTTTATCCATTCATCTGTTGATGGACATCTAGGTTCTTTCCATAGTTTGGTTATTGTAGACATTGCTGCTATAAACATTCGGGTGCACGTGCCCCTTCGGATCACTACGTTTGTATCTTTAGGGTAAATACCCAGCAGTGCAATTGCTGGGTCATAGGGTAGTTGTATTTTCAACATTTTGAGGAACCTCCATGCTGTTTTCCAGAGTGGTTGCACCAGCTTGCATTCCCACCAACAGTGTAGGAGGGTTCCCCTTTCTCCGCATCCTCGCCAGCATCTGTCATTTCCTGACTTGTTAATTTTAGCCATTCTGACTGGTGTGAGGTGATATCTCATTGTGGTTTTGATTTGTATTTCCCTGATGCCGAGTGATATGGAGCACTTTTTCATGTGTCTGTTGGCCATCTGGATGTCTTCTTTGCAGAAATGTCTGTTCATGTCCTCTGCCCATTTCTTGATTGGATTATTTGTTCTTTGGGTGTTGAGTTTACTAAGTTCTTTATAGATTTTGGTTATTAGCCCTTTATCTGATATGTCATTTGCAAATATCTTCTCCCATTCTGTCAGTTGTCTTTTGGTTTTGTTAACTGTTTCCTTTGCTGTGCAAAAGCTTTTGATTTTGATGAAATCCCAATAGTTCATTTTTGCCCTTGCTTCCCTTGCCTTTGGCGATGTTCCTACGAAGATGTTGCTGTGGCTGAGGTCGAAGAGGTTGCTGCCTGTGTTCTCCTCAAGGATTTTGATGGATTCCTTTCTCACATTGAGGTCCTTCATCCATTTTGAGTCTATTTTTGTGTGTGGTGTAAGGAAATGATCCAATTTCATTTTTCTGAATGTGGCTGTCCAATTTTCCAACACCATTTATTGAAGAGGCTGTCTTTTTTCCATTGGACATTCTTTCCTGCTTTGTCGAAGATTAGTTGACCATAGAGTTGAGGGTCTATTTCTGGACTCTCTATTCTGTTCCATTGATCTATGTGTCTGTTTTTATGCCAGTACCATGCTGTCTTGATGATGACAGCTTTGTAATAGAGCTTGAAGTCCGGAATTGTGATGCCACCGACTTTGGCTTTCTTTTTCAATATTCCTTTGGCTATTCGCGGTCTTTTCTGGTTCCATATAAATATTAGGATTATTTGTTCCATTTCTTTGAAAAAATGGATGGGATTTTGATAGGGATTGCATTAAATGTGTAGATTGCTTTAGGTAGCATAGACATTTTCACAATATTTATTCTTCCAATCCAGGAGCATGGAACATTTTTCCATTTCTTTGTGTCTTCCTCAATTTCTTTCATGAGTACTTTATAGTTTTCTGAGTATAGATTCTTAGCCTCTTTGGTTAGGTTTATTCCTAGGTATCTTATAGTTTTGGGTGCAGTTGTAAATGGGATGGACTCCTTAATTTCTCTATCTTCTGTTTTGTTGTTGGTGTAGAGAAATGCAACTGATTTCTGTGCATTGATTTTATATCCGGACACTTTATTGAATTCCTGTACAAGTTCTAGCAGTTTTGGAGTGGAGTCTTTTGGGTTTTCCACATATAGTATCATATCATCTGCGAAGAGTGATAGTTTGACTTCTTCTTTGCCGATTTGGATGCCTTTAATTTCCTTTTGTTGTCTGATTGCTGAGGCTAGGACTTCTAGTACTATGTTGAATAGCAGTGGTGATAACAGACATCCCTGCCGTGTTCCTGACCTTAGCGGAAAAGCTTTCAGTTTTTCTCCATTGAGAATGATATTTGCGATGGGTTTTTCATAGATGGCTTTGATAATATTGAGGTATGTGCCCTCTATCCCTACACTTTGAAGAGTTTTGATCAGGAAGGGATGCTGTACTTTGTCAAATGCTTTTTCAGCATCTATGGAGAGTGTCATATGGTTCTTGTTCTTTCTTTTATTAATGTGTTGTATCACATTGGTTGATTTGCGGATGTTGAACCAACCTTGCAGCCCTGGAATAAATCCCACTTGGTCGTGGTGAATAATCCTTTTAATGTACTGCTGAATCCTATTGGCTAGTATTTTGGTGAGAATTTTTGCATCTGTGTTCATCAAGGATATTGGTCTGTAGTTCTCTTTTTTGATGGGATCCTTGTCTGGTTTTGGGATCAAGGTGATGCTGGCCTCATAAAATGAGTTTGGAAGTTTTCCTTCCATTTCTATTTTTTAGAACAGTTTCAGGAGAATAGGAATTAGTTCTTCCTTAAATGTTTGGTAGAATTCCCCCGGGAAGCCGTCTGGCCCTGGGCTTTTGTTTGCTTGGAGATTTTTGATGACTGTTTCAATCTCCTTACTGGTTATGGGTC